ATATATTTTTAGCCCTTACAATCACTTCTACGCATTAACTGGTTCATTGCGGATGGCATTCCTGGCGGGTCATCAATTTTTTTGTGGCGTATGACACGAGAGTCGTGTCATTTAAAAAAAAAACTCGTTCAAATTGCGTTTTTAGAAAATTTATCCATAGAAAAACGTTCATTATTTTGCAAGTAGCTCATGTGCCATCATGCCTTCCTTTCCGGAAATTTGTGAATGGTCTTAAAACCGAAAAGCCGGACAGATCAGTGAGCTTATCCGGACATTTTGGTAAAAACGCCGGACACCCTTCATTTTTTAGTCTTAGTATAACTTGACATTTTTTTAAAAGTAAAACAATGCCTTTACTTTAAAAAAAATATTATTATATAAGTACCACAAATTCATAAATTCTAATAAATGACAATAAAATTGAATTATCAGTCTTCTTTATTATGCCGGCAAACTGTAATGCAGTTTGACAGAAGAAAATGTGAAAAACTTTTATTGTATAAATGGGAGAAAATAAATTTAAAAAAATTATTAATTTCAATCATTGCAATATTATGTATATTCTCTTTTGTCATTGGTCAAATTTAAAACGCAACCAAGAAAGTTTGACTGTGTCCGGCTTTATTTTCAGATCAGGGAAGTTACCTCAGAGCGTGCCCGAGATTCGTCTTAATGGAAAATTTATTAAGATAGTAGAGACAAGTTCAAGTATCTTGGCCATATTGTTACTTCAGACTTAATATGATTATATTAAGGCAATATGATTGCGCGAAAATTCTGCAAGGCGTCGCCGGACGTGAAAATTGTGATATGTGTGTATATACGTAGGCGGTCCCATAATGAATTGGCCTAACTATGAACCAATGAAGGAAATGAAACGAAACCAATTTTATTTTTCAATATAATCACCATGAATACTAACACACTTCTGACATCTGTGAATCTACATCTCTAAACCTTTATAAAAATAATCACATCTTTTATCCTCAAAATGACTGAAGACGGCCGCCTGCAACTCTTCATCGCTTGAAAATTGTCTTCCTCTTAAGTCCCACTTTAAATTTGGAAATAAATAATAGTCGGACGGGGCCATGTCTGGACTGTAAGGTGGATGTTGAACTTCTGTGAACCCGCATTGACGAACTGCATCCTTCGAAACACCAGCGGTATGAACAGGGGCGTTGTCATGGAGCAACAGGACACCTTTAGACAGCTTGCCTCTTCGTTTTTCCTTTATCTTGTCTCGTAATTTATATATTAAAGAAGCATAATATTCGCCGTTCACGACTGTATTACGTTCTTTAAAATCCACCATCAAAATGCCTTGAAAATCCCAAAATATTGTGCACATCAGTTTTTTAGTCGATTGTTGCACCTTTGTCTTTCTAGGGGGCTTTTCACCCTTATAACGCCTTTCCATTGACTCGCGCTTGCTGTGTGGATCATAATACAAGATCATAGTTTCATCACCAGTCACTAGCCGCTCGATCACAGTATTTGGATTTTCGCCACAAAGATCCAAAAACTCCGAAGCGCAGCGCACTCTTTCCTGTCTCTGTACCGCTGAAAGAAGTTTCGGTACCCATCTTGCACTCACTTTTTTCATGTGAAGATGTTCATGGATCGCGCGATGAACGGTACTCTTAGAGAGCCCAAGCCTTGCTGCAATTTCTCTAATCTTCAAACGGCGGTCACTCAGAACCTCCTCTTCGATAAGAGCAATCGTTTCGGGAGTGAGCACTTCCACAGGTCGACCGTCGTGGCCAAAGTCTTCGACGGTTTCTCTCCCGAGGCGAAACTCTTTCACTTCCAATTTTTCACTGTGCTATAGGAGGAGGTAGACTCCTTAAACACGCCATCCAATCGTTCTTTTATTTGGGCAGGGGATAAACCTTCTTTAAACAGAAACTTTATGACACTTCGATACTCAGTTTTCGACATTTTGAAAAAAATACGAGACTCTCGTTATTCAAATGCCTGTTAAACTAAGACTAAGCATTTCATGTCGATGCATGTTTCTTATATTAAGTGCACGATAAACGTACTATTTAATGCAACACAACATGTAGCGACATGTCGCGTTGAACTATATCAGGCCAGTTCATTATGGGACCGCCTGGTATGTGTGTGAATTATACGCGTAAAGAATATAATTATGAAATGATATTCTTTACGCGTTTACGAAAAAAGTCATATCTCTGAAAGTTTTAGTCTTACTGAGATAAAAATTAACTCATTCGGAGGCCAATAATATTGTTTATCGTTTACATTATCAAAATTTTTGTTGACATACTTGTAACTTTGAAGAAAAAAAATTTAACTTCAAATAAATATCAAAAAAATATGCTAATCGGCAAATTATTGTAAATTACTGCAAAAACAACCCCGTTTACCCTTCTTATTTTTATACTAGATCGACAGATTTTGAGTTAAGCTACAATGCAACATAAAGTTTACAGCTGTATGTTTATTACTTTAAGAATTATTGTTGTTTGAACATGGCGTATGCCCAAACACAAAAGGCCTTTGTTAAGTGACAACTGGCACTGCCTGCCTAGGAGTAATAGGTTGGATCTTTATTTATTAGTTTATTTTTTGTAAAAATAAACTAATAAATAAAGATCCAACCAGATGGAAGCCCTCGGCAGGGGAGACCAGACGGCCGAGGGTTAGGAAAAAAGGGAAAGAAACCGACGGACGATGCGGGCGGTATCGAGAAGCACCGCCTTCTGCATTTGAGCTCGGAGCGGTCCGTCACGGAGTCCCAGTCGCCTCAGATGACCCGAGAGGCTGACTGGGATTAGGCCATTCGCAGAGACGACTACAGGAATAATTTCGGTCGGCCGACCACCCCACATGTCGGTCACCTCGTGAGCCAGGTCCAGATATTTTGTTCCCTTATCTGTTTCGGCTTTCACGAGGTTCTCGTCATACGGAATGGTAATGTCGACCAAAAATATCCTTGACTGTGCCCGGTCCATCAGCACAATATCAGGCTTATTCGCAAGAATAGTCCTGTCTGTGATGATGGCCCGGTCCCAGTAGAGCCTGGCGCGGTCATTTTCGAGCACGGCTTCCGGCAAGTACTTGTAATACGGCAATTTCCGGTTCACGAGACCGTATTTCAGAGCGAGCTCCTGGTGTAGAATTCAGGCTACTAGGTTGTGCCTGTGCAAGTACTCAGAGTTAGAAAGCGCCGAACAACCGGAGATGACATGCCTAAGTGACTCCCCGGGATGGCGACAAGCTCGACAGACGTCCGGATAAATAATAATAATTATTATTATTATTTATCCGGACGCCTGGTAACGCTATGCGTACATTAAGCGACGCCGAAACCACGCCCAAATTTTTTGACGTGCTCACCCACGCATCTTTCTTTCTTTATGACGAGCCGTATAAGCCGCATTTGCACCAAAAATCATGTTGGATGCAAACAATTTTATAATAAGTTGAGCATGGTTTGGAGCATTTTGGTGTCATTTCATTGTTGGCCTGAATGGGTCGTTTGCAAATCCAGCATGTTGCAAGCATCATGTTAAGTAGAGCCTCCACAAAACTATTATATTTGGTAGAACCTAGCAACAAATAAAAAGTATGCAAAAGAAAGCCTATATACGTCCCATTACTGGGCACAGGCCTCCCCTCATTTCTAAGAGGGCAAAGAAATGTCTGCCGCGCTGTCCCAATGCGTGTTGGCGAATTTCACGTCTTAGAAAATATTTTTCCATACCTGTTTCCTCACGATGTTTTCCTTCACCGCCGAGCACGTGGTAAATCAGCACTTAAAATTTCAATTAATAATTTCATTGGTGCCAGCGGGGATCGAACCCGGATTACTCCCGTTCTGTTATAATTACAGTAAAAAGTATGCACTCGTTTTAAAAAATCAAAATTATCAACACGCTTAAAACATTATTGCCCCAGAAACCCCTAAAAATCAGTTCAGTGCGTGAATACCCCCTAGGATAAAATGAAACTTCATAAATTAGAAATAGTTATTTTATTAATCATATAAAAATACAAATAGGTAACGATTGAATACAAATAAAATGTTTGCCATTTCACCGAAATAACTGTTAGAAAAGAAACGCAAAAGTAACGACGTTTTGGAAATATAACGCAGCTGTGAATTTAATCAAATAAAAATAAAAACTATTGGAAACCTCGCAAATTACACTCGATCTTTTTATTTTTCCGTATACATCTAACATAAAACTATTGACAAATGAAAATTTACCTTTCCTCAATCAATTCTAAAAACAATTTAAATATCAGTATAATTTGTTACTCTGAGAATACAAAAAGAAAATACAGATCATACAACATTTTCCCTTATATTAATTTATTTTTAATATTTAAATGAGTGAATAGGTATATTATATTATATGTACCCATTGTATTTCTTAAAGTAAACTATTATATTCAATAATATATACCTATATGTTCAGTCCGGTTGATATTTGTACATATCAACGAGACTGAATAATATATTGACATACATCCTTTATATATATATATATATATATATATATATATATATATATATATATATATACATGAGTAACAACAAGACAAGAATAATAATAAATTCAGATACATCCTGCTCATTTCTCTGGTTTAAATTTTAAATATATAGAATATAGAGATACTTCCTTTTGACAATTTCCATATTACATAGCTTTATCAAAGTTAAGAAGAATTTATCCAAATACATAATATGTGGCATAACATTCACCAGTACTTGCAAGGCCTACGAATAAATATTCAATAATTTATCTTAACAACACTTAACATAACTCCTATACTTCTAAACTTCCTTCATATTACAATAATTACCACTACCATCCTGTAAACTATAATAAAAAATGCAATGAAATAATTAATTATATTATGGAAAACAGAAATTCTGGAATGTTATCTTAAATACGAAGCGTCTCTGAAGAATATTTAAGCAACTAATATTATAGAAGGTAAGTAATATGTAATTAAATTTCTGTTTATAGGAAACTATAAAGCAGGTAAATAGTGGGTGGGGCCCAGGCGCTTTGTGTCATTGTAAGACCAGTGAGACAAGCAACAAAATACCACAGTAAAGAAACTATCAGAATCTGCCAGATGATGTGCGCGACCAGGAGGCTGTAAAAACATAAAATATTTGTTTTAATAATGAATCAAATAGTGATCATGTCTATACCCAAATCGCTACCTCTTAAAAAAGTAAAGAACCATCGCTGTCAAAGACACGTTTTAAATCTTTTTAAACACTCTTACTACGCGGTTAAATTATTTTTCCCTGTAAGTATATGTATGCATGAATGTGCATATTTCTGAATAATATGACATTTTGCAGATATATTAAGACCTGATATGAATATAATAATTTGGTTACTGTAGTTAGTATTGTTGCTAGGATCATTACAGCTCAAAAAATGCGTGTTATTTAGTTTGTTTTAAACTTTATTATTATTTTATTAAAATCATAATAGAAATAACATATAAAATTAATTTATTTAGAAATTATCTGTCATATTTTGTTGCATTACCCTTGGAGGAGAAACTGACTGATCCCACTTATGTACGCAACATATGCGATGCACCGCTCGGTGTCACACTTTGCCTACGTATGCAACGTACTTTGGCATCAGACACTCTTTTCACTTTTTAGCGGACGCACAAATTTATACCATGTTTTCTAATTCTGAGAGTTAGTTTCAAAATAATTTACTTAGTCTCATGTTCATAAACGAATATATCCGCACGCCACATGCAATGATGTACATAAATATGTAGAAAACAATGTTTTATTTCCGCAATATTTATACAATCGTGTTTCATTTCTTAACATGACAGGGATAGAAATACAAAAATTATTTTTTTTAATTTCGCGCCTAGACCTCTCCCTTCCACGTTAATAAAAAAAATGAGATAAGTACTCACTAGGTATACCATTTATCTCTTCCCATACTGTATAACGTAATTTAGCATCGCGATTTAATATTATAAACACATTATAGACACATTTAATATTATAAATACATTCGTATCGCCTTACTAAACCGATGAGCTGTTCATCTTAAATTATGACAACAAAACGTGTGCACGGTGTAAAGGTCTATTTGTTTATGACGTGCGACGCGTCAGTTCTAGGAACACACTGGTCGTACGCATGGGATTGTGTAGACATCGCAGATCGATGCGTCGGACGAGTGTGATTGCGTTGCATACGGATAAGTGTTTATAATGTATAGTTTTTCGTACAAAATCAAGAATCCAGAATTCATAATGCGTTGCATACTGCGTACGTGGGATTTATGTATAATATTCATAATGACTGCCTCGTTGGTCTAGTGGTTGTAGTAGTGCGACTGCTGATCATGAGGTCCTGGGTTCGGAATCCCGGGTCGAGCCAAAAAATTAATTATTGAGTTTTTCCGTCAAGAAATTCTCAGTAGTTGCCTGGAGTCAGGAAGCTGGCGGTGTCTCACCCCCGTGCCTCGGAAAGCACGTAAAGCCGTTGGTCCTGCGCCTGATCTCTCTCCGGTCGTGTCGGTTTACCGTCCCATCGGATTATGAGAGTGAGGGAATAGAGAGTGCACCTGTGCTAGCGCATACACTTGGGCACTATACTCCTGTCCTGCGCCGATGGCTAGCCTCCGTTGAGGCAGGCCGCCGTGGCCGAAATTCGGTCTGGAGGACATTATTATTATTCCTCATGATATGGAGTAGTCCCCATGTCATCCCGTGGGTGCTGTAAGAAGCGACAGAGGGAAACTGAAACAGATGAGCAGCAGCGTCTTCTGGACAACAACTCAAAATAACAAAAAACTGCGGTTGCTACCCAGCCACCACGCGTGGTTACTATGGTAAAATTCTCCTATGAGGCGATCTATGGGAGAGGTATACGAACAGCAGTGGATTTTTGTGAGCTGTAATAGAAGGCAGCTAATACGTGTCCTTGGTGCCGGCGGACATCGAACTCGATTTGCTGGACGTTGAACTCGCGTACTGTGCTAACACGGCTCTTGGTCTGGGTTATATACCAACAATAAAATATACTTACATGGTATCTTTGCTTCTCGCTGCTGGCAAAGTCGTCTCTTTCTCCTTGTTCAAATACCTCCGGACCCCCAAATGCAGGGTGACAAAGTATTCAACCCACTGCAAAAAAAAAAAAAACAACAGTATGCTATCATCTTTACCAGTTCGCTATTAGACATCAACCTTTACTTCTTTTAAAGAATTTTCCGTAATTATCACCCTTGGCATGCACAAGCCATCAGTGTTTTGAATAAGGATCTAGATCGGGATTAGCGAAAGCCTTACTATCCACCTTACAATTTGCGTTACGTCACCTATCTTTTTTTATAGGATAGGGAAACGAGCACACAGTCCACCTGATGGTAAGTGGTTGCTGCGGCCCATAGACATTTACATCTATCTTCGATTACGAATCAAAATGCGAATGCGTTGTCACCCATGAGGACTAAGATGGAATGCCTTACTTCCAGTAAAAAAAAGGTCTCCGGTTCTCTACACTCACCATACGAAATACAGCAGCATTAATCTACTATTTTACGCTGGTATTCTGTGAGAGCGTGGTCCTTCCTCGGTCGAGCCGACCCATTCGTGCTGCTACAACTATACTACTAACTCCTGAAAACTTTCACAAATGTCAACAACTTCCCAATATTCGCTGCCACTAGGTTTCAAATGTTCAGACATAATCATAGTGTGACATAACATAAAGTTACTCATTTGTTTTAGCCCTCACTGTCCCAATGGTTTTTTAAACTATCAATAAGTTTCAACATTAAATATATTTTACATATACTGATTACTAGCGACATGCTCTAGCTTCGCCTGGGTACGATCTATTAATGTGGCGTTATTCAAATTTAAGATAGTTAAAGACCTTATGTTTTATACATTTAAGTTTTTCAGATAAAATATAGCTTAGTTCTCTCCTGGCATTTCTATCTGTACGTAAGGTTTTATCACAATCCATTTTGAAGCCGCTCCGAAGTTTAGTCCGACAGATAGACACACAGACAGGAAAACTTTCGAAATGGTAATTTATGTCCCAAATGCTTACGCAAATAAACCCTTGAGCTTGATAGGAACCAGTTATCACAATATTACAGATGTACAATTCAACTTAATTTATATGTATTGATGATGTATAGATTGATAACATGCTTTCGCGAAATCGTGCTTGTAACGAAAAGTTCCATTCATCATCTTCAAAAGTTTCCATTTAACACTCTCCAACTTTTGAAAATAGACGTATTGCTATAAAATTATTTCATACATCAACATAATACTTAATTGTGAACCGTTTTCTTGTCAAAAATCTCTAGGGTACTTGATACATTTTTCAAGTCAGTGGTAAAGTTAATCTATATTATATTGCAAGGATTAATAAATTTATATTACATTAAAAAAAATATATTTTTTACCGTGCACAATTGTGTAAATGTCCTTTTCACTCACCTCAATGTCCGATATATCTATATTGAATAGTTCACTGTCAGTCGAGTTCAGAGTTTTGCATAAATCTCGTGTATTCGGGTTGTGGAAACGCCATTCGTTGAAAATGAATTTCTCGAGACGACCCAGCGATGCCCACACATTTTTATGAAGCCGAAACAATCTGAAAAATTGTTACAATAGATATATAATACATATATAGCATCACGCCTTTAATTCCCGAGAGGGTGGTCCGACCAGCGAGCAGACCACGTTTAACCAAAATTTAGATGGACAATTATACGAGGGTGGATTGAAAAGTACTCGGCCTAACCAAGAAAATAAACACATACTAAATCAGTTATATTTTTATTTTTCTACATAATCACCATCAAGTTCAATACACTTTTGCCACCTCCCCTTCCAAGCATTTAGACCGTTGAAAAAAAATGATTCTTCCTTAGAGTCAAAATATGCGTCTACAGCTGCTTTGACCTCGTCGTTTGTCGAAAATCTTTGACCTCCCAAGTGCTTTTTTAGGTTAGGGAACAGAAAGAAGTCTGATGGTGCCAGATCAGGTGAATACGGCGGATGCGGTAACAGTTCAAAGCCACAGTTGTGAATTTCAGCCATTGACTGTACTGACGTGTGAACACGGGCGTTATCTTGATGAAACAGGACTTTTCTTCTGAGCATTCCTCGACGTTTTTCTTTTATTTCCTCTCGTAAACGACGTAGTAAGATGCAGTAGTAATCAGAGTTTATAGTCTGACCCCTTTCAAGATAATCAATCATAATCACACCTTTCGAGCCCCAGAATACTGAAGCCATCACCTTATTTGCCGACAAAATCGACTTAGCCTTTTTAAGGGGGTGGTGAACCAGGTCTTCTCCACTGTTTTGATTGTTGTTTTGTTTCCGGTGTACAGTAATGAACCCATGTTTCGTCCATAGTAACAAAACGATTCAAAAAATCATCTGCATCGGCTTCAAATAACTCCAAACAGTCGCGTGAAATAGTCAATCGCGTCCTTTTTTGTTCAACTGAAAGCAGTCGCGGAACCCACCTCGCAGACACCTTGTGGAAACCCAACTCGTTGACAATGATGTTTTGAGTTCGTTTATAAGAGATGCCTATAATCTCGGCTATCTCTCTAATTTTTAATCTGCGGTCTCCCATTATTAAATCAAGTACTTTTTTAATATTTTCGTCAGTAGTTGCCGTCGAAGGCCTTCCAGAGCGGGGTTCATCTTTCACACTCTCTCTACCACGCTTAAATTCTGCTATCCATTTTTTGACGGATGAATATGACAGAGCACAATCGCCTAATGTACTGACCATGTCATCATGGATGGCTTTTGATGATAGCCCCTTCTTATGGAGGTACTTAATGACGGCACGCTGCTCGATTCGCTCCTTTCGCGGAAATTATGTCCGATTACTTTGTTAATAAATTTATAAAATCACAACTAATTATCGCACACGTTTCGAACTTCACACAATGAACTAGTCTGAACTGAACTAAATAATGTGGGTAGATTTGATTTTTAGAATTGAATGGATCTGTGTTAGGCCGAGTACTTTTCAATCCACCCTCGTAAAAGAAGTGAAAGGTGGCTAACCTATCGCCTACACAATCACAAACCCAATGTTCCATTAGTCACTAGGCATGTCGATCCGAGATCGATTAATCGAAGAATCGATTTATTGTGCCGAAAGATTGATTATTTTAATCGATATAGTACTGAATCGATATTTTACCTTATGAAATTGAGATCGAATCTTTTAGTTTTCATAAGAACTATAAAATGATTTCCAATTAGTTGAATGTACCCAAACTCATAAAGAACGACAATTTTTCTATTCAAAAACTAGCAAAACTGCTGTTTATTCAGTTTCTTTCGCCTGTTCTAAATGAATTAAAGAAATATAAAAAATTACGTTTGTAATCTGTACTTTGTACGAATCTGAAAGATAATCGAAAAAGAAACGATTTTTGAGAAATCGATCTTTTAGACCTCGATTTTTTTGTGAATCGATTCATCCGGTATTTACCTTTTATGGCATTTAGGCATTTTAAACATTAGTAGCACTTTCTTCTCCATTATAAGCTTTACAAAAAGAAAGAAAAAATAGACAACAAGCAGAAAAAGACAGTTTCTTTTCACAGCTTTATTTAGATATTTAGTATTGAGACAAATTTCATACGAGTACAGTCAATCTTTCGGCACATAGTTAATTGCTAAATTACTTTATAACCTCTCTCGTTTTTAAAGTTGGTTAAAATACGACTCACGTATGCAGTTTTGATAAAAAGCTATATTGAGCTACTGTGTTCTGCTTTTCATTTGATTTTGTGTGATAACGAATAAATTAAAAAAATCGCTTCATATCGTTATTACGTTATCTACCTAATAGCAGTGTAATTATAACACTTTTCGTGAAAACTTCAATATCCACATTTTTGTTCATAGTACAATATAAAAAATATAAAATATAATGTTTTATTACAGCCTATAACCTATATTATACATCCCACAGCTGGACAAAACCCCCTCGTATTTCTGAGAGGGTTATAGAACGTTTAATCCGCCGCACTGCTCCGGTACGTGTTGGCAAACTTCACATCATGTCTTCGAAATATTTTTTTCTTATCATGCAGGTTTCATCATGATGTTTTGATTCACCGCAGGTAGTGAAATCTCTATCACAGTAACAAATTAAACCGCATTCGTCGCTACACAAAATTTTCCGTTACCGTCAGCCTATTACGGTCTATTGCTGAACACAGGCCTGCCCAATATATTGCCTTATATTTATATTAATATATAGTGTAGTATTTAATGCCTTGGTTGTAGTAGTGGGGTCGGGCCAAAAAATTAATTATTGAGTTTTTCCGTCAAGAAATTCTCAGTAGTTGCCCGGAGTCAGGAAGTTGGCGGTGTCTCACCCCCGTGCCTCGGAAAGCACGTAAAGCCGTTGGTCCTGCGCCTGATCTCTCTCCGGTCGTGTAATAGAGAGTGCACCTGTGCTTATGCATACACTTGGACACTATAAACCTGACCTGCGCCGATGGCTAGCCTCCGTTGAGGCTGGCCGCCGAGGCCGGAATTCGGTCTGGAGGGCATTATTATTATTATTATTAGTATTTATTATTATTATTATATAGTATTTGCCATAGTTACCACGCTTGGCAAGCAAGTTGACAACTGCAGTTTTATAAGTTTAGTCGTTAGGAAGACGCTGCTGCTCATCACGATTTGTTTCCCTCTTTCGCTTTTTACTACACCCACGGTAATGATACGGTGTAGTGGATATTTTTACACCGCCACTACAATATTTGAAACAGTGAAATACTCACATCGGTTTACCTCCCATCAACCGCAGCAGCATATCGAGCAGTATCGCCGGGAAGAAATGAACAAAGATCGCCGACACTCGGAACATCCACAATGTTGGCACAAACTCCAAGTGAGGGTACCTGAAAAAAATTTAATTATAAATAATTGTTATTTATGACAATGGACCTTCTTATAATAGAAAATTGATTTGTAAATCACGTTTAGGTGGGTTGGCAGCAAATGTTTTTGAGATATTCTAGAAAACTTTAAATGACGTAGCGATTGTTATAGCTGCAGCATGAATGGGTCGGCTCGACCGGGGAAGGACCACGCTCTCACAGAATACCAGCGTAAAATAGCAGCTAAATGCTTCTGTGTTTCGTATGGTGAGGGTAGAGAACCGGAGACCCTTTTTACTATATACGAGGCATTTCATCTTAGTCCTCACGGGTGACAACGCATCTGCATTTTGATTCGTAATCGAGGACACGAGGGCACAGAATAAATAATAGTACTACGTACAGAAGTTGCACTCCTTTGATGTCGACTGCTTGCCGACGTTTAATAGTCTACATAATTATTATTAATCAGATAAATCACGCACGCAAGCTAAATAAAACTTTATCGCTGCGCGTTAGTGTCCATATTACTTTGCATCTTTTCCGCTTCCTAAGACACGGCGAAATTTCCGTGGTTATTAAGGGATGTCAATAGAAAGTAAAAAAAAAATACATTGCGAAATTTTAATTATTTTACTTAGGTGAAGTACCTATTCTGACTATGATCGACTGACCATACTTTCGCCCCTATGTGAGTTCTGCGATGCCCAACGCATGCTAATTGCAAGGTAGATAGTGTACATACATACATACATAAACACTCACGCCTGTCACCCAGAGGGGTAGGCAGAGACTACGGACTTCCATTTGGCACAATCCTGACATACCTCTTTCACCTAATTTACATCCATATATCTACGCATACATGCTCGTCGGTTAAGGGTACTTCTAACGTGGCCCCTTTTCAAAATATCGCCAATTTGATCGATAAACTTTTTACTAGGGCGTCCCTTCCCGACTCGGCCGTTCACATCTGCCATATAAATTTGCTTTGTCACTCTTTCCTCATTCATTCTTTCTACATGACCAAACCACCGAAGCATTCCTTTCTTAATCCTGGTCACAACATCATCTTGCATACCACATTTATCTCTTATCACGCAATTTCTCACCCTGTCATTCAGATTCAACCCTAGCATACTCCTTAAAGACCGCATTTCTACAGCATTTATTCTACTTTCGTGCTTCTTCTGCCACACCCAGCTTTCACTACCATACATTAAAGTAGGGACTAACACAGCATTATGAATTACCATACGTGCCTTTTTTGACACATTCTGGTTCTTCATAATAGAGTGTAGTGCCCCATTCACTCTATTCCCTGCATTTACTCGTCGTTCTATATCCCTATCATATCTACCATCCCTGCTAAATACACATCCCAAATATACAAACTCATCCACTTGCTCAATTAACTCTCCTTCTATTCTTATTTCACATACCGTTTTGCTTTCTTCTCTTTCAAAAACCATCACTTTCGTCTTACTTGCGTTCACTTTCATTCCCCTTTCTTTTAATTCCCAGTTCATTAATGTAACCATCATTTGCAACTCAGCCGCCGATGACGCAAATATGACTTGATCATCGGCATACAAAAGGCATTTGACGGTTAACTCGCCTATTCTTAACCCACATTCTTCACCTTTCAAAGATTGCAAACACCTGTCCATAAATAGGTTGAACAGCCAAGGGGAAGCTACACAGCCCTGTCTGACACCTTTTTGGATGCCAAACCAGTCCGAGTAGACCCCATTGATCCTGACACAAGCACTAGAGTCCCTATAAAGAGACCTTAATGCCTGTATCAAACCAAGCGCTCAACCCATATGAGTTCAGTGTTTGCCATAACACATTCCTGTCCACTCTGTCATAAGCCTTTTCCAAGTCCATGAACGCACAAAAAGCTTTCTGGTTTTTGGCCAAAAACTTCTCCGCAATCATGCGCATGGAAAAGACTTGATCTGTACACCCCATTCCCTTTCTAAAACCCGCTTGCATTTGCATTGTAGATAGTGTAAACAACAAATAAACCTGAAATACGATTCTGAACAGAAATGTGATCTATTCTACTTAGTTAAAAATCTTGTTAGTATACAAGGTTTTAATTTCAATATTTTGTGTTATTATAACTTAAAATATTTTAATTACAAAAGACAAGTATAGGTATGTAAGTAAATACTTGGAAAGTGAAGTAAATTTTAACAAATTTTTGTAATAAAGTACTTAGGTATTTCTTATGTAGACCAAATTATTACTTCTTTTTGCTGTAAGTACCTATCTAACAAAAAAAATTAAATAAATTCACCTTTCATAACTTCCTTTTGTAATTTTTCGGTAACTTAAAGAATGATATGAAACCTTGTTGGTCATTTCATTTAGTATCCATCCACCCAACAGTTATAGTAGGAACGACGTTTTGTTATTATAATTTATCAAATAGGTAATATACATAATATATAATTTTTAAAATACATTAAAACTCTTACAAGAATTTTTACCTACAATTTAATATACTAAACACTAAACAAAAACTGTTTCAACAAGTATTTACATAAAACTATTTACGTAAACAGCGTTAAAAAACTTTAACATTGAATCGCCTACAACGCGCTAGCCCCTACTGCGTATAACACCCAAGGCGTCTCGCGATTTTAGGTAATTATTTCACGCAGGTAGCAAGAGCGACAGAGGCCTGACGAGGGCGACACTGAATTTTTTTTAAAACTGGCCACTTGTAAACAATATAATAAAAAATAAGTTATAATTATGAAAATGGAACTCTTTGCCAATATTTTTTTATATGTATTTTATTCATTTGGCGGCAAATTGAAACATCGACGACTGAAGATATCATCAGTGTTGTGCGGCGAATGATAGAGACTGACAAAATAGTGACTTATCAGCAGATTCGGTCAGGCTTAGGCATCAGTGTGAGTCAAGTGCACAAAATCCTCCATGAACATTTAGCGGTCAGGAAGCTTAATGCCCGGTGGATAACTCATAATTTGACAGAGGCCCAAAAACTCCGTCGTGTTGATTGGTGGCTCAGGTGACTCATATGCTGTGTTCGACATATTTACGGGTGACGAAAGCGGGATTTATTGTTATGATCCTGAAACAAAAGGACAGTCTGCTGTCTGGGTGTTTCCTTCCGAGGAGTTGCCAACTAAAGTGAAGAGGTCGAAGTGTGGGAAAAAAGATGGTGGCCTCGTTCTTGGGAAGGACAGCTCATTACGCAACAATTGTTTTAGAGGATCGAAAAACAGTTACTGCAGAGTGGTACACTAATAATTTTTCTTGGTTTGGAAAAAGTTCGTAAGAAACGACCTCGCAGTAGGATCTTCCTTCACCACGACAACGCCTCGTCGCACACCGCCAAGCAAACAATCGACTACTTGGCGACGTCAGACGTGGTATTTCTAGGTCACCCGCCCTATAGCCCCGACCTCGCACCGTGCGATTTTTTTGATTTCCGAAAATAAAAAAAAAACTTCGAGGAAAACGTTTTATGGACGCCGAGTGGCTGCGTTTCGAAATGCCGACGAAGAGACCCCTAAGGAAGAGTGGGCAAAATGCTTTTCTCAGTGGTTCCATCGGATTACACTATTTTGAAAAGATATAATAAAACTAATAACCTGCTAAAAGTTTGTTCAGTTTTTGGTTTACTAAGAACTTTCAGTCTCCTCGTAATTGTCAATGTCTATGGGCCACAGCAACCACTTATCATCAGGTGGACTGTGTGCTCGTTTGTCACCATATCCTATTAAAAAAAAACGAGAACCCTAGAGGGATTCCATCTTAACCCTCAATCAGATCAATATATGGAGGATAATGATGTGTTGCGTTAACTCATTCTGTGTTTGCAAGTCCCCTGCCCATATTGTTAAAATTAAAATCGTTAAAAATATTATATCAATGTACATTTGACAATGTAGTATTACAATATAATCAATATGATGATGATTATATTATAATTTATATTGTCATTTATAACTTTTAACAAAATTAAAGCTGTTTTGTTTTTCTGTTTATTATCAATTTAGTCTTGTTTAATTGTCTGATGAACGTTGAAATCGTATAGATTCTATATAGATTCTACTGTAAAAAAATATTTGCTCTAATGTCACTATCCAAGCAGAAAACAGAGGAGTATGTTGTATGGACTAAACGCCGCCCGGATATCCTCCTAAATTTATTATTCCGCCATTTAATATTTTTAATATTAAACAATAACATACCAAACGGCACTCTTCAACGGGTACTTATGTAACATTTCATTCACTTTTGACTCCAGCATTGTCCAGCGGAACGGCTTCTGCGTCGACGACGAACAGTGATATACTGTTAAACCCGACCTGGGACAAAAATATATAAAATTATAAGTAACCCACCTTCCTTCTATAGTAATAAATAAAAACCAAGCTAACAGTACAGCTGACCGGAATATAGACTTGCAACCAATTTCAAACAAAAGTAAGACAAATATAAAATGCCTTCCTGCGTTATACTGGCTCTCTTACTCCTCGTTAAACAGTATTGGAAGCGCTGATGCTTGGCTGCAGAATTTGGAAAGCTGGTGGATCCAGACAGACTCTTGGATGAAAGTGGTGTCCTAACTAGTAATTTTACCAATAGCTCCAATAATTACAAGGATACTAAAAACATTCATCATTTCATCATATTAACAGCCTATTACAAGTTCCCGATAAACACAGATATCCTCCAAACGATGCCACAAAGCATGGTTCTAAACTACCTACATCCATAGACTTTCTGCATAAGTATCAGACAGGTCGCACTCTGTTTAATGCGGCGTAGTACACTTCGCTTATCTGTACGAGGCTACCAATCCAGAACCTTTCCCCACAAGTCGTCGGTTAGTCGAGCTATATTTTAAATACTACTTTGTTGGATTATATCAGTTGAACTTGTTTTTAGAGGGGCAAACGAGCATGCGGCTCACCTGATGGTAAGTGACTACAGCCGCCCATGAGCAACTGCAACACCAGAGGAATTGCAGATGCGTTGCCGGCCTACTAAAAGAGTAGGCACTTTCCTTGAAGGTCCCTAAGCCATATCAATCCTGTACTGCCACGGATATCATTACTTCGGTTCCCGATAGTTCGCAGAGCGACATTATGCTTTCTCATAAGGCTAGCAGTAAAGGAAAATGTCTTATAATATTATAATAATGTCCTCCAGACCGAATTTCGGCCACGGCAGCCTGCCTCAGCGGAGGCTAGCCATCGGCGCAGGACAGGATTATAGTGCCCAAGTGTATGCGCAAGCACAGGTGCACTCTCTATTCCCTCACTCTCATAATCCGATGGGACGGTAAACCGGCTTTACGTGCTTTCCGAGGCACGGGGGTGAGACACCGCCAACTTCCTGACTCCGGGCAACTACTGAGAATTTCTTGACAGAGAACTCAATAATTAGTTTTTTGGCCCGACTCGGGATTCGAACCCAGGACCTCGAGATCAGCAGTCGTACTACAACAACTACTAGACTAACGAGGCAGTCAACATGTCTTAATAGTTATATGTCATTACTGGCAACACGCAATGGTTGTTCACTCTAATATTAAACGTTGAATAAAACTAATTTGACGGATGTTATTGCGTTACTTTTCATTGGGTGCGTTCAGCAGAAAAAAGCGCTAGCAAGCGCTTGTAAGCAAAATGGCGATCGTAAGCGGTAAGCGCTGTCAAATCGTAAGTAGCTATTTTCCTCCAGGACACGATGTTAGTTTTAACCGGGGAATCTAACCTAATTTAAATATATGTTTGTAAAGTATTCATATTAAAAACTTACCAATCATGAGTTTTTAATAGCATGTATATGTTTATTCATGTCATTATATTACTTAAAACTAATATTGCACAAAACAACTTATAAACTACTTCAAAACAAACAAATTAAATAAGCAAAATGGCGGATTGTGTCAGCGCTACTGAAGTAGCAATCGTGTCCTGGCCGAAAACTATTTTAGCGCTTCTAAGCGCTTGCTAGCGCTTTTTTCTGCCAAACGCACCCAATGTCATGTAAGCATCATTGCAATATGTGAAGTATTATTATGTACTACAACAACTACTAGACCAACGAGGCAGTCAACATGTCTTAATAGTTATATGTCATTACTGGCAACACGCAATGGTTGTTCACTCTAATATTAAACGTTGAATAAAACTAATTTGACGGATGTTATTGCGTTACTTTTCATTGTCATGTAAGCATCATTGCAATATGTGAAGGAGTGAGCACTTACTTCTCTTTTGCTGCATGCCATCCAGCGACTAGCAGCTGATTCACGACAATGTCCACTGGAATGTAATCGGCGATGTTCTGTTTTGCTAGAGGAAGACGTCGCACCACGCCTGTAATGAAATCTGGCTGTTATACAGGTTGTTAGTGTAAACACCGTTATCCTTGAAACCAGTGGTTTGATTTCACTTATAGAACGTAAATTCAATGAAAAATAACAACTTTTTTTTTAGTAAAATCTCAATTTTTCCTTAATTCCTTAATTTTACAAACTATAAATAATGTTATAACACAAAATATACACTCTTTAAAATACCTTAATTGATAAATTTAGTTACCATCTAATCAATGAAGTACGACTTTTAACAAACAACACACTTATTAAGGTGTTCAATAAAGACCAGTAATAATGGTTTCTTATGTGGCAAAACCGTATTAGGTTTGTATATTATAAATTAAAAAATAAATAAAACGCATACCTTTGGCAGCACCCATCAAGAACCCCTGTGGTCCAACTTTCGAGCAGGTCCAGCCAGGTCGAGGCTCCTTCCACGCTGCAACAACTGTTGACAATTTTTTTTTTAATTGGATATACTTTATTATTATTATTTGGGGTATCTATATAGTTTTCTCATCTGGTTGGGTTCTATAAATATATAATTATAAATTTAAATGAAAAGATCAATATACATAAATATTAAATATCAATAAAATAAAATAAATACAAAAAATACATAAATAAATAAAGGTCCAACCAGATGGAAGCCCTCGACAGGGGAGACCGACAGAAACCGGCGGACGATGCGGACGGTATCATTCTCGTGCGTCCTTTTCGAGCACGGCTTCCGGTAAGTACTTATAATAATAATTTCTTATATTTACGCGAACACTACACCTTGATTAAAACTACTTTTACGGATTTTATCGCGTTTAATTTTATTTTTAATTATTTTTATTTTTATTTCCCGACGTTTCGGGTGCTTTCCAGCACCCATGGTCACGGGGGACTGAGGTGACTGACGACCCGATGTCATTGTTAAACCCGGAGTACCTTCAGCTTTTTTAATTTATTAGTCAGTTCATTTTGCATAGATCGGACCATAAAAAATAATTAAAAAAGCTGAAGGTACTTTGGATTAACTTTGACATCGGGACGTCAGTCACCTCAGCCCCCGTGACCATGGGTGCTGGAAAGCACCCGAAACGTCGGGAAATAAAAATAATTAAAAGTAAAATTAAACGCGATAAAATCCGTAAAAGTAGTTTTAATCAATATTTATAATAAGGCAGTTACCGATCCACGAGACCGTATTTCAGAGCGAGCTCCTGGTGAAGAATTCTGGCTACTAGGTTGTGCCTGTGCAAGTACTTAGAGTTAAAAAGCGCCGAACAACCGAAGATGACATGCATAAGTGACTCACCGTGGTGGCGACAAGCTCGACAGACTATTTTATTATTATTATTACTATACAGTGGTTAAGCTTTATAAGGCGTATAATAGCAGCGTATATAATAGCAGTGTCCTTGCAATGTGCTGTTATGATGATGACGATGATGATACACATACGTCCCACAGCAGGACATGGACCGTTACCATTACCGTTTCTGTTTCCTATTAAAGTCCCCTGCTAAACATAGGTCTCCCCCATAGATTGCTTCACAGGAAGGATATTTGCCATAGTTGCCAAGCGGGTTGGCAACCGAAGTTTTTTATTTTAGTCATTATTAGGAAGAGGCTGCTGACCATCTCCTGATTTGTTTCCAACCATCGCCTCTTACGACACCCACGGGATGATATGGGGTGGTGGATACTTTTACTCTTACACGGTAGTGTGGCGGTGTAAGAATATCGTGTGGTACAGACATCCGTTACTGAAAGGGTGTCCGCCACTCTGCGCCAATAGGTGTTTCCAGATTTCATGACTGAAATATTTGTATTAATTTCTCAAACACGCAGTTTTTTTTTTAACGATGTTTACTTTTACCACGGCGCAATATACAGGGTTATTTTTCAGAGTAGCCAAAGTTTCAAAAAAGTTTGAATATATAAATAATGATATACCGTTATTGCTGTTATTGAAAATACGAGTATATGAAACTTCTACTTTTATTTGAAATTATCCCAAATTGAATGTGACAACGTTTTTGCATATCGATCGATACCCTTACGAATGTGTACGTGCGCAGTAAAATCAGTTAAAATAATGCATTGCCACGCAATTTGAATTTAAACGATAAAGGGGACAGAATGTTTGAGATTTTTTTAATTCATATTTCTTCACCATTTGCCTTTATTACTTATTCTGCACCTCTGCAAATTTGGCCGGTTATTGCAAAATAACTCTGTATAATTATATTACAGCCTATTAAAAATCCACTGCAATTTTTTCAAAATAGGTTTCTTCTAAATGCTATTCTTTACTTTCGAATATGCAATAAATCCACTCTTCACTAGGACACAGGACTCCTGCTATGCTCTGTCTGAAGAGTATAGAAAACGAGTATAATTACAGGCAACATTTCTCAGTGGTATACACCCAAGCTGCAGTTATATTAGTAGTATAGTTGTAGCACGAATGGGTCGGCTCGACCGGGGAAGGCCCATGCTCTCACAAAATAAGTGTAGAGAACCGGAGACCCTTTTTACTGGAAACAAGGCATTCCATCTTAGTCCTCACGGACGACAACACATCTGCATTTTGATTTGTAATCGAGGATAGATGTAGATGTCTATGGGCCACAGCAACCACTTACCATCAAGTGGACTGTGTACTCGTTTGTCACCCTACCCTATAAAAATCAATAATATTACTTATTATTGAAAATGTATTATGGTTAATTTCACTATTAACATTAGCAGATGAATCATTATTATTATATGAGCAATTATTTAAAACGCAAGAAACATACTCATAGTAGGCCTGACGATGGTGCAAGGGAAAATATCCGAACAATTCTTCACCTCATGTTCCGCCAAGTGTTTGGTGAATGTATATGTGTTAGGGTGATCCTTAAGAACTCTGTAAAAAATTTGATACACCAATTTAAAAGTGATAAACTTATTATCAAAAATAGTTTTGAGAGTTTAGTAATTCAACCAAAATGATTTAAAGATGGATAGTACCTAACAAAAATACTTTAAAGATATTCGGTCTTATTACATTATGTGGTTTATTAATGTTTATTTAAAGTTTATTTGTAAAGAAGAGTCTCTTTTACTAAAGAAGTCTCTTAGCCGGAGCGCCACTGGCATCCCTAAATTTAACATATGCTGTCAAACTCTATACTTTCTAATTTACTTTAGTTAATTACCACAGAACATCTTTATTTAAACAGACTCTATCTTAAATGTGAGCCTAATTTATCGACCACATTTAGTACTATTTTTTTAGAAATTATGTTTAAATTTCTTAATTTTAGAAATTATTTAATTTAGGGCCGATTTTTCGAACCCCAGATAAAAGATATTCATAAGATAAATCAACATAAATGAATTAAAAACTTGTACGAAAAAATAGTTCAATTGTTTCACTTTAATATTCAGCCATGTCGGTTTATTTGACAGGTAACTTATATAAGACGCATGAACAACCGGCGCTTATGTAATCAATTACAATTTTGTCAAAGATAACAAGATTTCTTTAGTGATCTTTTATTCATTTCAAGTAATTGAAAGATTAAAAATTATTGTATACCTGATATATAAAATAACTTTCTAACTATAAACTTACTGAGGTTCAATTTCAATCAAAGCATCATCATTCATGGTTTCAACTAAAGAAATGACTTTCTCTACATCTTCTGGAGCATCATACACTTTCTCATGGGCTTCTGTTAAATAAGAATTAACATAAGCAGACGAGACATGCACCATAACCTGCAAATAATACACAATTTTGTACACGTCAATTTTCCTTCTTTAAGACAATGTTCCGATATACCTACACTGCGAGCACTACTCAGTACTCTCATTGGTGAAATATTTGTTCCGCTATGGACTGCCAGTATACTGCAGCATTATGCCGCCATTTTTGTACTGTGAGGTAAGGTGCTCTCAGTACTTTGATCACGTGATCAAAAAACATAACAGGGTCTAGAGATTTAACACCTTTGACAAATAATTGTTATCATTATTAATTAATATTGTTATTCAAATAAACTTGGACATTAAGTTTTAGAAGCAACAACATTCACAAATAATATTAAATGTTGTACTTACATGATAAATATTTTCATTTGAATACAGTGTCGAAAAATGGGGATGACAGTATACTGAACTGTGTTCCATTTTAAATAGTAACCAGTATAGCAAACTAAAAAGGAACTGCTTCACAGTATATTGAATTGACGTCACACCTTACAGTGGTCACAGTGTACATCGGAACACACCCTAAATGTAATAAGTAACGTGTGTTATTTATTGGAATTAAAACTGCATGTTGGGAGCAAGATCTATCTATCTATATAAAACACGAAAATTGTTTCTATCTATGTTCGTTATAGACTTTGAAATCATTTTGTAGAATTTGCCCCAAACCGTTTTCTTTAAAAAAAGCAATAATGAAAAGACGGTTTTAGACTACCAAAACAATGCATTAGGCACTATATAAAAAAGTTAATAAATAAACAAAATTTCCTTTGTTTTCCAACAAATAAGCAAAACGTATTTCTTTTTATCGTGGAAGCACAGCCGGGTATCCGCTAGTGTAAAATATAATTGGTAGTGAAATACCTATTTATAATAAAGCTGTGGAAATAAGAAGTCATGCAAGATAATATTAGGATTCAAATATATTAGACTAACATAACTATTAGGTCTACACTTTTACATGGTAGAGCCATACTGCAGTTATATTAGTAGCATTGTTGTAGCACGAATGGGTTGGTTCGACCAGGGAAGGACCTCACTCTCACAGAATACCAGCGTAAAATAGTAGTTCAGTTTGTTTTGACTGTACAGATTTAGTGACTATAATTTACGGTTTTAATTAAATTTTTGGGATAAAAAATTACCTACGTAGGCGGTCCCATAATGAATTGGCCTAACTATGAACCAATGAAGGAAATGAAACGAAACCAATTTTATTTTTCAATATAATCACCATGAATACTAACACACTTCTGACATCTGTGAATCAACATCTCTAAACCTTTATAAAAATAATCACATTTTTTATCCTCAAAATGACTGAAGACGGGCGCCTGCAACTCTTCATCGCTTGGAAATTTTCTTCCTCTTAAGTCCCGCTTTAAATTTGGAAATAAATAATAGTCGGACGGGGCCATGTCTGGACTGTAAGGTGGATGTTGAACTTCTGTGAACCCGCATTAACGAACTGCATCCTTCGAAACACCAGCGGTATGAACAGGGGCGTTGTCATGGAGCAACAGGACACCTTTAGACAGCTTGCCTCTTCGTTTTTCCTTTATCTTGTCTCGTAATTTATATATTAAAGAAGCATAATATTCGCCGTTCACGACTGTATTACATTCTTTAAAATCCACCATCAAAATGCCTTGAAAATCCCAAAATATTGTGCACATCAGTTTTTTAGTCGATTGTTGCACCTTTGCCTTTCTAGGGGGCTTTTCACCCTTATAACGCCATTCCATTGACTCGCGTTTGCTTTGTGGATCATAATACAAGATCATAGTTTCATCACCAGTCACTAGCCGCTCGATCACAGTCTTTGGATTTTCGCCACAAAGATACAAAAACTCCGAAGCGCAGCGCACTCTTTCCTGTCTCTGTACCGCTGAAAGAAGTTTCGGTACCCATCTTGCACTCACTTTTTTCATGTGAAGATGTTCATGGATCGCGCGATGAACGGTACTCTTAGAGAGCCCAAGCCTTGCTGCAATTTCTCTAATCTTCAAACGGCGGTCACTCAGAACCTCATCTTCGATAAGAGCAATCGTTTCGGGAGTGAGCACTTCCACAGGTCGACCGTCGTGGCCAAAGTCTTCGACGGTTTCTCTCCCGAGGCTAAACTCTTTCACCCAATTTTTCACTGTGCTATAGGAGGGGGCAGACTCCTTATACACGCCATCCAATCGTTCTTTTATTTGGGCAGGGGATAAACCTTCTTTAAACAGAAACTTTATGACACTTCGATACTCAGTTTGAAAAGCCTTCGTTTCATGCCTGTTAACTGTTATTCATTGGTTTCTTTTTTGCAAACGTTTTTTAATGCAACACAACATTTAGCGACATGCGCGTTGAACTATATCAGGCGTTGTGTTTGTTCGTAACATTTGAAACTACTTTCTCAAAGTGCGTTAATTATGTTACATGTTGTGTATATATATTAACTAAATATTTTATACATCTTTATGTCATAAAATGTTTTAGTGATTTTTAATATTTTTGTAACAACTGCCAACTTTTCTCCATTTTTACTTCTATTTCTCCTGAGGTTGACTGGTAAAGGCAATTAAATAAGTAAGTAAGTAAGTAAGGCAATTAAATAATTATAAAGTAATAAGGCAATTAAAGTCACTGTAAGCCTTAGTTTATGGAGTCTTACAATAAAGATTTTTTTTTATAATTTTTTTTGTAATAATAATAAAAAAAAGATTAAATAAATTAATATGTAGTGATTTTTCAATACCTTCAAATCCTTTATCTCCTTACAAAGCTGCATAACTCTCCGTGTTCCTAACAAATTGATTTTCACAGTAGGCCTCAGGTTGTCTTCAAAATCTAAAGTGGCAGCTGAATGTATGACTACATTTACATTATCAACAAGTAACTTTCTGTCAGCCTCACTCAAGCCTAGGTCATCTTGTCCAACGTCACCTGACACAGGCACTAGCTTCTTAAATACATCTTTTGTTTGGGTTTCGAGAAGTTTTTCAAAAACCTGTAACAATATACTTATTATTTACATTCAGTTCAATCCACAATTACATGTTGCTACTTTGAAAGTATGCATTATTGATATTACTCAGTTCTACCATGCACTAGTTGAGGATGTGTGCTTGACAATTTTATAAAGGAGACAATTCTTTTTGAGCCCACTAGTTTACTATTTATATTACCATATATGTAACAAATACTAAAGTACTAAGTATTTATTACACATATTATGATATTACAATTTAAAAAAGAAAACTTTTTTTATAGTAAATGGGCTAAAGATTATATGAAAGTCTAATGGAATACCTAACAAAATCTTACTAGAATTGCAATGTATTGATAAACATGTTCCATAATACATGTAAAAAATAGTGTCCACACCATGTTTGTATGTATATTTTGCCAAAACCACTAAAAGGATTTTCCATCAATTTTAAACCTCCACTAAATGCTGAATGTACCTACAACTTCGTTTTATACTATTAATTATTGAACAGTGCAGTATTTTAACTTATAATACAATATATATTACATAACTTATAACATATAACAGATAACTGTGAAAACTACTAGACAATTGGATTTAGTTTGTTTTTAGGTTATTGTGATTTTCATATTTTAATTTCAATTTATCAGTATTTCCGTCAAATGTGGCAAAACTAATATAACTATTGTAACCTATAATTTATAAGGAATAAATCCATATGCTTTTTACTAAGTTACACCACAATTTATTGTAGGCCCATTCTCCGTACAAAAAGAAATTGTCTCCTTTAAAAGTCAAAAAATTATCTACTTCAATATTAATATACTGCTTGCATAAGAGTGGACCATGTCATTGCAAATAGAAATAAGGCAGGTAAAGTTTACATTTGGACTAGATTATGCAGAGATAGAAATGAATTGCTGTAATCGTCATGACTGACATTTGAATTGGCGATGGCAACTGCAGTCACAACCATTTTTTTGTACCTTAAATACAATAGATGATATATAAATTTATGCCATCATTTACATTTTAATTAAAATGATATGCCAAGATATTAATAAAAACTAAGTTAATAGAAATTTTTTTAACAACTATAGTCTTTATTTTATCAGCAGTTGAACATGTATGTGGGCTGTAATAATCTTTTTCTCCAAATACTAATATCACCTAAATAGACATAGAAGGTGCTTTTGACAGAACAAATTTCTCCAGCATAAAAGGTGCCCTAAGTAGACATAATGTTGAACCGGCGCTGATTGACTGGATAGTAAACATGCTCAGTACACAAACAATAAAGATTGCTGGTGAATCTCAGACAATTCAGATCATGAAAGGATGCCCGCAGGGTGGGGTTCTTTCACCTCTCCTGTGGAATATGGTCATTAATGAACTCATCAGCAAATTAAACACTAATCATTTCTACACAGTCAGTTATGCAGATGATCTGACAATACTGGTCTCTGGTAAGACAGCAAGCATTGTGTGCGACCTGACCCAAGCGGCTCTCCGTATTGTGGAGAGATGGTGCAGGGAATATGACCTAACCGTTAATCCAAATAAAATGGTTATAGTAATGTTCACACAAAAACGAATGCTGAATAACTATCATCTCCCAAGCCTTTTCAGCACAGAACTCCAACTTTCTTCCGAGGTAAAATACCTAGGTCTTACCTTGGACAGTAAACTTAACTGGAACAAACACATAGAAAACAAAATCAGCAAAGCTAGTTTAACTTTCTGGCAGTGCAGAAACATGATCGGCAAACGAAAAATATTATACTGTGGCTGTACAAAACTGTAATTCGGCCCATGATCACATACGGCTCTCTGGTATGGTGGACCAAAACCAATGAAGCCACCACTATACAAAAGCTACAGCGTTACCAGAGATTAGCTTGTATGGCTGCCACGGGCTGCATAAGGACAACACCAACAGCAGCTTTGGAGGCTACGCTGGAGCTAACACCGCTTCATCTACATATACAACAAGAAGCAACTTTAGCTGCCATTAGACTCAAGACCCTAAATCTTTTAAGTAAGAGTAGAGTCCCCCCATACAGATACAATCGATAGAATTTACTCCAAAATTCCAATCTTACAAGCCAAGTATAGGATCCCAAAACAATTTGTATTCGATAAAAAGTACAGGATACAATTGAAGGAAACTGACCATCTGGAAGGATTGGGTCCAAGAGAGCTCAAAGTTTTCACGGATGGCTCTAAGACAAATGAAGGTGTGGGGTCTGGGGCTTTCTCTGAAGACCTTAATATCCATATATGCACACTGCTGGGTACCCACAACACAGTCTTCCAGGCTGAATGCATGGGTATCATCCAAGCGGCCATAGCAATAGATGCTAGGAAGGTGAAAGACTTCTCCATCAGAATACTGACCGACAGTATGGCGGTACTACAAGCTCTGAGTTGCAATGTGACGAACTCGGGACTGATACACGAGTGCCATCAACGATTGAATGAGGTATGTAAGTACAACAATGTAACTCTGCAATGGATCAAGGGACACAGTGGATCTAGAGGCAACGATGCAGCAGATGAACTGGCCAGAATAGGATCGGCCCTAGCAACTATAGGGCCGGAACCAATAATACCAATCCCCTTTGGCTACATTCATTCACTGGTACGTAGATACTTCAATAATTTACACGCTCAGCTTTGGAAAAATTTTGTAGACTGTAGAAAAGCTAGGGAGGCCCTACCTGAAATAAACAGTCATCTAACCAAGGTTCTAATGAGACTGAACAAGCCACAGATCAGGATAGTAACAAGTGCTATCACAGGACATGGCTCTTTTAACAAACATTTGTTCACCATAGGTGTTACTGACAGCCCCCTGTGCAGGGCATGCATGGGAGAGGAAGAAACGTGTTGGTGACATGTCCAGAAGTCGCTTCATACAGGGCTAAACATCTCGGCACGCCGGGATCGCTCCCCGAAGTTGCCTGCAACATCAAGGGACTGCTGAGCTTCTTCAGGGGAGATATCATGGCTCAAATAAGCATATTATTCCTGCCCACACGCAAAATACGCGCTTAGACGTGGAGTTGCTGAAAACAGCCCGTCGTAAACTAAACTAAACGAAAAATATCACCTAAACATGGAGAACCTGCTAAGTAATGAACAAAGCGCTCAAGACCAACAAATTTAAAGTTATTCATTCCTAAAAACCCATATACCACAAATGAATAACAGGATGCCAGCATGAGAATATCAGTTTTCTGCTCACTAAATCCACTCACCACAATCACAGCCCAGGATAGTGAGTATCATCAAATCTTTGAAGGTATTATTCATCACATGCTACATTATTTAATATATATATATTACATACATTATTTATATATTACATGATACTCCTAAAAAGAGCAATAAATAAGATGAAAAGAACGTTTGGATTGCAGTAGGCAGAAAACAAGTACGAGATCTTAAAACCAGTTGCTCCTTTACACAGGCATTGGCTTTAATTGTGATCCAAATCTTCAACTCAAAGTCCATGATCAACCATGGAGTATAGAATTATAAAAATCAAATCATAGTGATTTCCAGACTTTAAAAAAAGAATACAATAAAGGTCAAAAAAGGCAAAAACACCAGATCAGTAAAGTTAATTAAGCAAATATAATTATGTATTATGAGGTTCAACCTAAATAAACATAATTGAATACTAAACATTGTAAGGTTGAGTGCAAAACTATCATTCTGTATCATTACTTTAATTATATTTTATATTAGACATTAGTTACATGATCCGATTGTTGTCACTACAGTCTGTGACCTTGATTACAAACAGACTGAACTGATGCCAAACTAATTCAGAGATTGATTGACTGATGAACCAAACTAACGAATTTTTAAATATTTGGAAAATATTCATTAGTTTTGTTTCAATCGGTGGCAGTCTTACAGTATGAATGCATTTATTAGTCTCACATCAGTTTAGCTTGCGGCCCTGCAGGCCGCAAGCCCTGAGACAGATGAAGCTGTAAGAGTCGCATAGACTAACAGCACTAACATCTAGATAATAGTAGTCTCACATCAGTCAGGGCTTTGACAGCTATGTAGTTAAAAATTTGTCACCCCATGCACCACCAATACAAATGAAAAAATAAACTACCCAATATTATCCTGTGGCTGTAGTATTTTTCTGGGAACAACTTAATAGAAAAAAGCTGTGGTTGCCAAGTCGCCTGCTAAGGATGGGAATTATAGTAAATAACCCTATCAGGTAATCTTTAAGCGAGGCCTATGTTCAGCAGTTGACTTTTGGATGGCTGTAATAAATGAAAAAATTAATTTATGATAGTCATATTTCCTTAACTAAATTCAGGTGTATAGAATTCTTTATTAGTAACCACTGACTAGACAACACCTCCTTATTTTATGCATTTTTTAACATTTCAGGCGAATATTATAGCAACACAAGATTTTTTGTTTATAATATCCATAGCAAATTTTATCTTAAACATATTTTATTTAGACTAAAGCTATCGTGAGTTATGTAATGCTGCACTCAATGTTCAGATTGATAGAATAAACTGAACAGTGCATTTATACGAATGCACTGTTTTATTTATTATTTTCAATGCTTTCATATAAGTTGAGGTTTTGATTCATAATTCAGCTCTCGAAAATGTCGAGAAATATCTCGTTATTAGTTATAAGAGTGGTCACTCGCCAGTCAACACTTCTAGTTATTCACTACCAAACGAAATACAATAGCATTATACTGCTATTTAGCATTGGAAGTAACAAAATTTTTCACTCATATTACGCTGGCGTGATTGTACCACGGTCGAGCCGACCCAGCAGTGCTGCTGCCATTTGTGAGTTTTTTCCAACGTTAAAAAAGAAAAAATTTAAACAAACCAAGAGGAAACAGAACTTACCGGATTTCCAGGAAATTCTTCTAATCTTTCTGAAATATCCTTTCCTTTTTTAGGTCTCATGAGCAAATACAATTTTCCAACATCCGGTATCGTTCGTAATATTTTCTCAATAAGACATATTCCCACAAAGCCTGTACCTCCGGTTATGAAAAAATTCTTGCCGCTGTAAAACGCTCGCACTTGCGATTGTTCGGACATTTTTTAACTTTTAGGTATTATGCTTGATTTTTTGGATCTGAAAAAAAAGAAAACTATTGCTGTTTTAAATAAACAAAACAAAAGGGCATAAACATAACCTGAAATTCTTATCTAAAACTTCAAGTCACAAGTTGAAGCAAATCAGTGTTCCCACTATCGATTTTGGTTTTACCATCCGTATATTACTATACTCTTGAACGAATTAACCAATTGGTTAATTCGTTTAAGACTATACTCTTTGGATATACCCCAGCTTTTTTAGGAATTACCCTAAATATCCCTGAAAATCTTTGACAGATATTCGGGCACATAATTATAATAAAAAAAATATATTACATATAATGATTTATGATTTGTACTGTTGGGTTTCAATAAAAAACAAGTGCTTGTTAGAAATCCCAGTTTTATATAAAGCAAGCAGTTATCGGTTTCGCCGCGCCGTTAAGTTTCTTTCTTTCGCTGTTTTTACCATTTTGATGTGAAATGTCTATTGGTGCGCTTTGGCAGTAAAAGCGACTTGTATGCCGTGACGGCAAACGACATGACGTTATCTTATGTCGTCATGCCCCTCTACGTTACCGCTGTGGACACCCTTGCGTGCGCGCGCTTGTGTGTGTGTGTGTGTGTGTGTGTGTGTGTGTGTGCGTGTGTGTGTGTGTGTGTGTGTGTGTGTGTGTGTGTGTGTGTGTGTGTGTGTGCGTGTGTGTGTGTGTGTGTGTGTGTGTGTGTGTGTGTGTGTGTGTGTGTGTGTGTGTGTGTGTGTGTGTGTGTGTGTGTGTGTGTGTGTGCGTGTGTGTGTGTGTGTGTGTGCGTGTGCGTGTGTGTGTGTGTGTGTGTGTGTGTGTGTGTGTGTGTGTGTGTGTGTGTGTGTGTGTGTGTGTGTGTGTGTGTGTGTGTGTGTGTGTGTGTTAATACGAGGTTTCAGCACGATTTCAAATTCGTTTTTCACCCGCGCGTCCCGCAGTGGGCGGAGGGCAACCGGCAGTCGGAGAGCGCAGCGTAAACACAGTATGCGCAAAGCAGCAGAAAGAAGCAAGCAGACAACTCACCTCCAAACAAAAACTTTTCCGTGAGGTCTCCTGTTAGCAACACTACTAGGTATTATAGTAATATTATTACGAGGTCTGGAGTCTGGACATCATACTACATTTTAACTATCAATATTTTTTTAAAGTCAGTTTTATGATATGAGTTACTACTTACTACCGAGTTTATATATATATATATATATATATATATATCCCAAGAAATTTAAAATAAAATCTTTTCTGGTGCCGGCCGTTCGCTCCACTAGTTTGGTGGGGCGACGTCTCTTTTTGTTCTTCTTTGTTTTTTTCTCTTTTATTATAGATTACTAAAGTACACCTTCACGTCACTCCGTCAAGTCCGGAGGTAAGGACTCATCATACCTAACAAAACGAGCCCAAACTCGGCACACCTAGTTCTACTAGTCCAGGTGTTCCAGTATTAGTTACTGAAGTTCACCTTCAGGTCACTCCATCAAGTCCGGAGGTAAGGTCTTATCATAACTGACAAAACCAGCCCAAAGTCCACAGCTAACATCTCACTGCCAGTAGAGGGCTCTCAGTGCCAAGCAGTCTTTAGAGTAAGGTATTCGTATTTCGTATCTAAGTCTAATTATCTATGTATCTAAGTATATTTTTGAGGTATAAGAAATCAAAAACAAATTCCATCTTTCAAATTATCAAAATAATTTTATTTGACGACTATTTTGACTACGATTCCCGCAGCCAACCGTGCGTACACTTGTTTGCGTGACCCGTTTCTAAGGAATAGTTCGATTCTACTATATCAAATTTGTTAAAAAGAGCGACACGTCTGTACAGCACCAGGCCTCGTAACTGCACAGGCGTTTACGCAAACATCCGTACTTATTATTTCAGAAATAAGAATATGCGATTAAAAAAAAAACTATTAGTTGGACTAAAAAATTAAAACACTATAACGTTAATATGTTGAATGTATAAAAATCTGACAATAAATCAGAATGATTGCATGTATACTAGTATGGTTTTTACTTGTTAAAAGAAATTTTTAGAGGTACGTTTGTGATTTTTTTCTATCGTATTAAATTAGTGGTATCATGTTTTCAACACACTATCTAACTAGCATATATTCTGGACAATATCATATATTTTTCTGGGTTTGTTTACTGCAGTGGATCATATACTTTGAGGCATTGTAAAACTTGCGTTTAGCGTCATGCCTCGTCTTAAGAGGAATTTATATTTATTTGATTGGTCGGATTGGTAGATTTTTTTTAAATTTTATTAAATTGGTTCTGCCACAGATTGTGTTCTCTACTATAAGTAAATGGAGCTACCAACATAAATAAATCCCAAAATTAGTTTTAACCGTGGCGTATTAAATTGAACTACGCTTACAATATACGTTGTTATTGTTGTATTCACTTTTTCAAGACAGTGCCATCTAACGTAAAATACAAAAAGTAGTGACATTTTTCCTACCGTTACTAATAAATTATATATGTAGTTATTTATTTAAATACATAATTGATTTGAAAATTGTAATGTAAATTTTTTAATTTTTGTTATTTCATTTTAGTAGATATAAATAAATTATATAGTAATTAATTAACTTAAATAGAAAATCGTAAAAATAAGGATGTTGCTAAATTTCATTTCTAATCTATAAAAAGTTTTTGTAGGTACATTGAGCTATTATATACTACGTATTAGAGGCGACACTGCATTCAGCTACTCTGTTCCGCTCAACTGCGGTGCATACACCGCACTTTAATCAGTCACTCGCTAGGCGCTTGTAGAGTTGTCACGTGTTGTGTTGATTTAAAAAAAAACCTCTTGATAAAAATATGTCGTCGTGTGTACTTAGATATTGCACAAATAATTCAAGAAATGTCAGTAAAACCCAAGGAATTACTTTTCATCGGTTAATAAGATACTTAATCAATAAAAAAACTATTATAGATTAATAATAAAACAAATTATTCCTAAGACGCCATCTCGTGTCATGGAATATAGATTATGAAATTAATATGTTTAGATGCGACATTTCTGTGGGTACTTAAGTATAGGACGAAGATATTATTATACACATTTTTTGTAGAAACATATATAAGTTATTATAATTAGGCAAAAATTTTCATGTTTAAATCTGTTTATTATTCTTTTATTTTAGGTTTCCACATCAAAGTCAAAGTGGGATAAATTCGTCCATTTTTAACTCTCGCATGCCCAGCATTTATGACCGACTCTTATTCTAATTTAAATAAATATATTTGTAATTTAAATGTTATGTTAATAGGTTTTGTTAAACATACATTTAGTATGTTTTTTATATTTGACATACATACGAGTAGATACCTTTTAAATATTCAGATTAAAATATCATTAAAATGTAATTGTGATACAATATTATGTAATATTATATTAAATAAGCAAATATAATATACAAAATAAATCATCATCATCATCATCATCATTACAACCCTTCACAAGTCCAATGCTGAATATAGGCCTCCCCCAAGTAATGCCACAAAGCACGGTCCTGAGCCACCTGCATCCATCGACTTCCTGCATGTCTTACCAGGTCGTCACTCCATCTAGTGGGGGTCGCCCTACACTACGCCTACCGGTATGCGTACCTTTCTTCCCCATCGGTTATCGGTTCTTCGAGCTATATGGCCGGCCCATTGTCACTTCAGCTTACGAATCCGTTGGGCTATGTCGGTCACTCCGGGTTTACTGCGGATATCCCCATTTCTGAGTCTATAACGCAGGAAACATAGCCCTCTCCATAGCTCGCTGAGCGACCCCGAGCGTCCTCATACGGCCAGCAGTGAAGAACCACGTCTCAGATCCGTAAGTCATCACTGGCAACACGCACTGGTTATACACTTTAGTTTTCAGAGATTGAGGTATACCTGACGAGAAGATGTGTCATAATTTCCCGAACGCTGCCCAGCCGAGTTGAATCCGTCGATTGACCTCTCGGTCGAAGTTGGACTTACCTAGTCGGACTATTTGTCCCAGGTAAACGTACTCGTCAACAACTTCGAGCATAGTGCTCCCAACAACTACCGGCATAGGTGTGATATGGACATTAAACATGATCTTTGTTTTGTCCATGTTCATCTTAAGACCTATCCGTTGGGACCATTGAGGTTATTGAGCATAGTGCTAAGGTCCTCCAGCGATTCTGCCATAAGGACTATATCGTCGGCAAATTGAAGGTGAGTGATGTACTCGCCATTGATGTTAATACCGTATCCTTTCCAGTCCAGTAGCTTGAAAATGTCTTCCAACGCAGCGGTGAAGAGTTTCGGGGATGTAACATCACCCTGTCTTACACCTCTCTGCAGTTGGATAGGTTTCAAACTCTGGTTCTGTATTCGGATAGCCATCGTAGCCCTACTGTACAAACATTTCAGCACTTCGATATACCGACAGTCAACTTGGTACTGCTGAAGGGACTGTAGCACCGCCCAAATTTCGACGGAATCAAAGGCTTCCTCATAGTCCACATATGCCAGGCAAAGTGGCAGATTGTACTCTTCGGTCTTCTGTACAATCTGCCGCAGGGTATGTATGTGGTCTATGGTACTGAAGCCTTTTCGGAAACCGGCTTGTTCGGGAGGCTGGAAGTCGTCGAGTCTGCGTGCGAGACGATTCGTAATGACTCTCGAAAACAGCACGTAGACGCGGCTCAGAAGGGAAATCGGTCTGTAGTTCTTCAAGAGAGCGTTGTCGCCTTTCTTAAAGAACAAGACCACCGCACTTCTGCTCCACGCCTCTGGAGTAGTGCCACCATGGAGGACGGAATTGAAGAGCTTCTGAAGGACTTCAAGTACCGGTGTTTCACCCGCTTTCAGAAGCTCCGCTGTAATTTCATCCTTGCCTGGGGCCCTGCCGTTTTTAATGTGCTGGAGAGCCATTCTAATCTCGCTTAGACTGGCGTCCGGGATATCATCGGAATAGTGTCGGATAAGACTTGCTCTTGCATCGTTACTCACACTTGCGTGTGGCTACAACGATG